GTGTTGGACGTGTTGGATGTGTGGGACGTGTTGGATGTGTTGGATGTGTTGGATGTGTGGGACAGTTGGACGTGTTGGATGTGTGGGACGTGTGGGACGGTTGGACGTGTTGGATGTGTGGGACGGTTGGACGTGTTGGATGTGTTGGACGTGTGGGACGTGTGGGACAGTTGGACGTGTCGGACAGTTGCAGCTGGACTGAATTTGTTGGCAGGTGTTTTATTGAAGTGGTTCCTGTGGATCTGTTGTAAATTCTGGAGTGAACTGACACATCCAGCAACATCTGGGCGTGCTGCTGTGGGTTTTAGTTGCCAGCTGAGACCTGGTCTGTTGACCTTCAACAGAACCAGAACCGTTCGTGTAAAAACCTGAACCACATGTTTGTTTCTGTCCAGTTAATTTCTCTTCCTGGACCAGTTGGATCCACTGGTCCGGCTCAGATCCAGGTCCGTGGTCTGTGTGAGACCTCATGTAGAACTCCTTTCACCTCCTGCTCCGAGGGACCTGCATGTTTTTGTTGCTCCGAGTGCGACCGGTGTTTCCTGGCGGTCCGCGGCTCGGACTGGTTCTCTTCGTGTTGAACTGGTGACACTGGTCTCTGTGGAAACACCTTCAGGTGCCCCGCCCTCCTGTGCTGCAGGTGAGTCACCTCAGCAGGAAGTGCTCGGCTCCACGGAGGAGGAGCTGAAGTTGAGATTTTTTAGACAAAACAGAGGAAATGCCCCGCCCCTCGAGCTTCTAATGTTTCAGAAAGTTTTAAAATCAAACTTGATTTAAAAAGGACCAAAAATGTTCAAATCTATTTGTTTAAGAACTAAAATAAACCTAAAGATCTGAAAACATGTGGGAGATAACGAACAGGTGTTCAGCTCAGGTGAGTCTACCTGAGCAGGTGAGGCGTCACGGTGCAGCAGCGTGTCGTGACCCGCTCACCTCCTGCTGTGGAGGTGCAGTTCCCTCACAGAAACCTCCTTAAACCTCTGGTCCAGGATCAGGGGTCACTGGTTTCTGCATCTGGTCCAGGATCAGGGGTCACTGGTTTCTCCCTCTGGTCCAGGATCAGGGGTCACTGGTTTCTGCATCTGGTCCAGGATCAGGGGTCACTGGTTTCTCCCTCTGGTCCAGGATCAGGGGGTCACTGGTTTCTCCCTCTGGTCCAGGATCAGGGGGTCACTGGTTTCTCCCTCTGGTCCAGGATCAGGGGGTCACTGGTTTCTCCCTCTGGTCCAGGATCAGGGGGTCACTGGTTT